GGGGGTAGGGGGGGTAAGGGGGGATGGGAAAAAGAAAAAGGAAAAAGAAGAGAATGATGCTATGCTATTGATAGGGTGTTCTCCTCCATTTTAACCGTAGAAGATAAGAAGCTCACTAAGTAAGTTGATTCTTATTAACTAGTCAAAGAAAACAATATTGACATGTGATTTTTAAACCACCTACTTTTGATCAAAGGACGCTAATATTCATAACATTGAACTAAATACACTTACCTCTCTATAACAGCATCCCTATATAACAGCCATTCATTATAAAAGTCAATTTTTTCTTAGAATCGATTTTTTAAATTGTATTTTACCTCTCTATAACAGCTTTTTACTTATAACAGCAACAACCATATTTATAGTAGAACACTCTTTGTAAAATTATCCCTCTATAAGATATATATACAATCTGTAAGATTACTAATAACAATTTTAAGAATGTGCACACAATCTTTTTCATTGAACAAAGTTTTTATTTTGCATAAGACACACGATTTGAAGATCCGCACATGATATATTTTTCATTGGATACTTTTTTGCTGAAATTTAGACACGAATCTTCGTCAATTCAAGCTTTATATCGGTAACAAAGAATGGAATTTATGAAACAACTACAATTATAAAGTTCTTCCATCAATCTTAAAAGAAATTATTTTTCAAGTAGCTTTAAAAAGTGTGCCTTAGAGTTTAAATCTTTGTACGTTTAATTAATAAGTTTATTAAAGGTGCATTAGCTCTCTCCAATATATATATAGTGAAATATGCATATCTTATGTGATTTTAAATTTGAACAATTTTCTTATCTTTTATATATAATATTAAAAAGAATAATTGATTTTTGGATAAAGTTTAACTATAACAACCAAAAAATACATAATCGTCAAATGTTGTTATAGGTGTATAACAGCCCTTCGCTATAAAAGCCAAAAGATCTCGTATTGTTATAGAGAAGTTTGACTGTATATAATTTTTTTGAGAATAGGAAAATGAAAAAGAACATTAATTTACGACACTTGCAACTTTTTTAATAAGTGACCTAATCTTACACTAAATCAACTTATTTATTAAATTGATCTTACATAAAAGACAATCTATTACACTGATCATATTTTTTCGTATGACACTAAATTATATTACATACAGGAAATGGTTACATTACATAAGTTTCATTCATAGAAACTAAACTTAATTAACTCACAACAACAAAGGTGATGATAAAAAAAAAAAAATCTTAAACAAAATATCACATGTGCACTTCTTTACATTGCAGCTTTAGTAGCTTTAACATCTTCAGCAGCATTCCCTTGTTCAGAAATACTAATCACCTTAGGCTGCTTCTTCTCCTCCTCAGCCAATTTTGGAACAGTAATTTTCAACACCCCATTCTCCAAATGAGCTTTAATGTGTTCCAAATCAGCATTTTTAGGAAGCCTAAATTGTCTCCAGAACTTTCCAGAAGTTCTCTCAGCTCTGTGCCATTTTTCACCTTCAACTTCCTCCTCTGTTTTCCTTTCCCCACTAATTCTCAACACTCTGTTTTCTTCAACCTCTATTTTAATGTCCTCCTTTTTCATCCCCGGAATGTCAAGAGAAATTATATGTTCTTTTGCTGTTTCTTTCCAATCTGAACGAGCTAAAGCGATTGTTTGATCAATTCCCTTAGGAATTGTAAGTGGGGTTTGTTCAAGAATTTTAAAAGGGTCATCTTGTGGGAACATTAAGTCCCAGATTGGACGTGTGTATGGCATTAAAGCTTCGGTTTGTGATGGAAGAAGAGTTGTCATCAGTGTTAAAACAAGAAAAGCCATAACACCAACTTTTGCTATTTCCATTTCTTGATAATAATACTGTAACGTGAAAGGTTGCTATAGGGGAAGTACAATATGGACTAGTTTGAGAATGTGTTATTTTGAGGGATAATTGTCGTCTTGCTGGTTAGAAGAATTGCAGACTAGTTTGGAGTTTATATAGATGTTGAAACAGAGGGAATGGTGTTTCAGGAGAAATCTGGTAAATGGTCTACAAGTTTCTGGAGAAGGAATTTGTATGGAGAGTTGTTAATTCAGTGGTGTACATATATACATTATTCCGGAATGTTCAAGAGGTTGGGAGAAGCAAGAAAAGAAATTGTATTCACCTCACCAATAATCATGTGCCACGTGTATAAATTTGCCTACTGACTCCACGTCTATCGATTATTAATGCACTCTTAAATTTAAGTTTTATCCCTTGGAGTAGTAATCACCTGACTAACATGCCATGTTTGAGTATTGCCTCATCCGTTCATGTCGAATTACTTTAGGGCCTTTTAAATTTAAAATCATAATTTGAATATTAACTACAGGTAAAACTTATTACTAGGTATTGAAAAAGTTAAATAAATTTATTAATATTATTCATAGGCTACATGATTTTAGTCTATTAAACCCCATTTCCTTAACCAACATCTTCCCAATTAACAGACTTTACCGTCTCCTATCAAAAGTCTATACTAAATGATCAAGATTACTAATTTGTTGAAGCAGCTTAAATTACTACCCAGATCTCAATAGTGGGGTCTGGGGATGATAGAGTGTACGCAGACCTTACACCTATTCTGGAGGGATAAATAACCTGTTTTCGGGAGACCCTCGGCTCAGAAGACACTATATCCATAACAACAGAAATCAGAAAAATAATATTAGCATCATAAGAGACATCAAATAAATGAAAATGCAATAATAATAATAAAAAAATTAAAAAAAGTGTGAAACTCAACAAACACCTAGCATTCCTAGACAAAAAAAAACTAACGAATAGCTGGCACAATGAGGAAAAATGCTCGACTATCCCCTAATACTCGACCTCTAAACCCTCCTATCAAGGGCCATGTCTTGAGAAATCTGAAATTATGCCATGTCGCCTGATCACCTCGCCCTAATACTTCTTAGGCCGCCCTACCTGTGAGAGCCAACCGCTCACACCTCCTTACCGGGGCATCTAGGCTCCTCCTCCGCATGTACCCGAATCATCTAACCCTCGCTTCCCGCACCTTGTCATCCAAGGGAGCCACGCCCACCCTCTCCCGAATATCTTCATTCCTAATCTTATCCAATTTAGTGTGCCCTTTTTTCTGCTACTGCCTTTATTCCATCATTAAGTAAAATTTAAATTTTCGTCGCCCTTGGAATTTTCAAATACGTAGCAATTAGCAGTAGTTTGGATAAACGTGCGTCTTAACAATTTCACAACGCTGTATCAAGCCCTGTCGGATATTTATGTCTTCAGTCCTTAGACCAGTTAAACTTATTCTTCATTGTTTGAAGAAATAGTAGTTTGTCTTTTTTTTATCTTTTCGTTTTTTCTATTGTAGGATAATTTGGTTGGTATCAAGGTTGTGTCACATTAATGTATGGTCTTTAGATTTGGTCTCGGTGTAGTTTACTGAACAAGGTGTCAATGATAGGATCTGAACCTGAGATTTCTAGGTTGTCACTCTTATACCTCAACCATTCAGTTGGGAACTAAAGGCCAAACTTCGCTAATCAATTATATCTGAAATTAATGAGGCATTACTAAAGGTTTAAGAATTAATACTTCGAAAAATATAAAAGCAAACCTAATGGCAGAATAGCCTAAATGGCACTTATACTTGTGCCACTTTGTCATCCCGGTCCCCAAACTTGATTAAGTTTCATCTAGACACCTCTACTCGTTCAAAAGTAATATTATAAACCCCTCTGACCATTGACCAAGTCTATGTGGCAACTTAATCGTTGAACTGGACAAAATCGTGTATTTCACGCATATAAGGAGCGTGAACGTAAAAAATTTATGATTAAAATAAGGAAAAAAGAAAAGAAATTTAAAAAATCAAATTAGAAAGAAAAAAAGGCCAAATAGGTGATTTTTCACATTCTACCTTACGTTCTGTCGCCCACCAAGGACCCCCCCTCTCTATCTCCCTCCCTTCTTCACTTTGCTCCTCTTCCCCATTTTAACCCAAAACCCACAGCAACGGTACCCTTCCCACCATATCTCCATCCAAAATGAAGAAACTCATTGACCAAGTCTATGTGGCAACTTAATCGTTGAACTGGACAAAATCGTGTATTTCACGCATATAAGGAGCGTGAACGTAAAAAATTTATGATTAAAATAAGGAAAAAAGAAAAAAAAAATTTTAAAAAATCAAATTAGAAAAGAAAGAAAAGGCCAAATAGGTGATTTTTCACATTCTCCTTACGTTCTGTCGCCCACCAAGGACCCCTCCCCCCTCTCTATCTCCCTCCCTTCTTCACTTTGCTCCTCTTCCCCCATTTTAACCCAAAACCCACAGCAACGGTACCCTTCCCACCATATCTTCATCCAAAATGAAGAAACTCATTCAACGTTTATCGCGCGTGGTTGATTCCTCCTCTAACTACTCCTTGCTCCATTCCGAATCTCGATCGGCGTCTCGTCCACGTTGACTCCAATCGTTCCGAACCGGAAAGCTCAGATCCGGCGCCGGAGTTCCTGAAGGACACCTCTCGGTTTACGTCGGCGATGAGATGGAAAGGTTTATCGTTAGTGCTGAGCTTCTTAACCATCCGATCTTCGTCGAGCTGCTTAATAAATCTGCTCAGGAATACGGTTACGAGCAAAGAGGTGTTCTTCGGATCCCCTGCCATGTTCTCATCTTTGAACGAGTACTTGAGGAAGATGGATAAAAATGGCGAGGGAGGAGGACGATGTAGTAAATGGTGGAATAAAAGAAAAGGAAATGAACAATTTCAAAATAATGTGAAAAATAAATTAATAATGATATGTAACAAAAAAATTGACATGGCCACTGATGTGTCATCCATGTCAGAGATTTGAAGAACACGCGAGGTGAGAGGGGTTTAAAATATTGGCTTTGAACAACTATAAGTGTCTGGATGAATCTTCTTTGAGTATAGGGACCGGGATGACAAACGCTAACAACTACAAGTGCCTACGAGGCTATTCTGCCCAAACCTAATTAAACAAAGTGGGCAAACAAAATGATGGTATTTATTATAATAATAAAGGTAATGTCAGAACTGAATCATTGGCTACCGTAGCTAGTTATAGGACTTATAGCATATGCATTTCATACTATACAACTTCTAATACTTTGCTTGGGAATTATGGAAGACTATTTGTAGTAAGAGTTTCTTTACTAGGATCTGATCTTTTAGCTGTCTCAGGAGATCCAGCGGGACTCAGTTTGTAGTCTAAACCAGCTCCATATTGCCAAGCTTCAAGTCGGCGCCTCCATTCGTATCTCACCTTGGCTGGAAATGATCCGATCAACGGCCTAACATATAATAATAATAATTGTTAGTGACTACGATATCTAGTGACAATGCAAACATCAAGCAAGATGGGAACTATGTGTTACAAAAGCTCATTACCTAATTGCAGAGTCGACGAAGGTAGAGAGAAATGTATAGTATCCCAACATGAGAAAATGTCCAGACCAGTCAACAAGCACAGGAATTCCAACCTGAAAAATCATCTGGAGTTTAGTCTTCCTCACTAAGATGCAGCACAGCGTTTACACATTTAGATATATCAGAATAGTACAAATGCCAGAGTGCAATGACTCGTACTGATCTATTTGGATGACAGAACTCTGTGTCTTCAATGAAGTTGTGACATTCAAAGGCAGTAACCAGAAGGAAAACTTGCAGCTTGTTAAGTTTTATAGAGTTTTAGTGAAACTTAAACAGTCTTCCTCAGCTCTCTCAAAATTGCAACTGCTTCTCAATTAAGCACAGGATCTATTCACACCGTATGGAACTCTTTAAAGTCTATCACTGTTAGGACAGTGAGCTAAATTTTGCCTTTAAAAGTAGTTGGATAATCTTCTTTGTGCAGACACATTTAGACCAATGGACTAATGGAAACATAGTTTAAATAGTGCCCTCAAAAATGGCTATTTGTGCAAATGCCCCTTAGATATTCCTATCTTGAAGGATATGTTATTTACAATAGAAGAAATGGAGCAAGGTGCGGGATGCAGAAATGAGCAACAAAAAAAAGGTAGCCAAATATTTACCTGCTTGAATATTGATGGAATAATCTGAGGTCTTGTTAACATTACAAGGCCTAATGTTTTCACAAGAGGCCCAAACTGTATAACATCCTATATCAATTGAGATGAAAGGAAATTAGTTCTAGATATAGAAACCGTATACCACAATAAGATAGCTCACCTGAAGAAAAGGTCTCAAGACAGGATCCCCTAGTTTCTGCAAGTAGATGACAAAACGGTAAGTGTAAAGAAAAAAATCCTATACTGAAAATGTCAAAGCATTGAACACATTATCGAGTGAAGATGGCGTACCTGCATACTCATGAAATTGGCAAAAAGAAGTTCATTGATGAAATCAGGTGGAACATTGGACTGTTTCTTTGCTGACATTGCCCTTTGAAATAACCAGGAAGAACTCAAGTTCGGCTGCAGAACATAATACATAAGTATGGTGATATCTCAAGTTCGGCTGCAGAACTTAATACATAAGTATGGTGATAGTACAGTTATTTAAGTGTTTGTGCATCAGCTGAAAACTCACCATGTAAGTATTCAACATGGACAAGCTTCTCGAGTCTAGAAAATTGCCTTCAAGTGCTTCATATATACCTTGTATCCCAAAGGAAAGAACCAAAAATAATCAGTGCACAAGCTCATTTGCGGGTCAAAAGTTAAGGAGAGGATGGTCAGATAACAGCTAAAGCATGTAATGATCAAAATTAAGCAGCACAAGAAATCTGCAATCTTAATTTTCTTTCAGCTAGTGCCTAAAATGCCAAGTACATTTTCAAGATTTATTAGAAGGCTGGTAGTTCATTAGGATGGGTCATTGATAACGGGACACAGCAACATTGATAGTAATTGATTAGCTGTAGTGCATTTGGAAACATTCTGGCAATGCCAGTTAAAAAGCAGTTGACAAGTACCAGTATTATCTCTCCCCTCGTATTTTAGCTAATGATTTTCCATTTCCTCGGAAACCTTCTTTTTGCTGCAACTAGTGTTTAATCGATAGTTTTATTGCATTCTCCATCCCTCTATCATGGATGAAAACGAAAAAACAAGGAAATCAAATAAAGCATAGAGAAAAACAATTTCAGAAAAAGAAACGTGCAGTCCTAAGATCTATAAACCTCAAAGTACAAACCTAACACATTTTGAATTAAACTGGTCAAATATGTAGAAGAGGAAAGCTGGTTGACATATGCGATATTAGTCTTTTCTTCTCGAAAGAAGGTTTCATATATTAGCAAGATGTTATACATTGAGGTAAGATAAGATAAAATTTTACCAGTAGTCAATCTCCCCAAGTGCCTAGTCAAACTCCCAAAACCACCAAAAGAAACTGGTGACTGTATGCCGCTAGCATCCCCAAACTGTAAAGATTCAAACTCATGTATTCTGTTGATATGTAATTGCAATGTATCATGGCTTTAAAGGGTTTGATGAAACACCTGTAGAATACGATCAAAAGCGGCTGGCAACGGACTGGCATCAAAATGAAAGGGAACAGAATTATCAGAATAGTAAGAAAGTAAGGCGACCAAGAAATTTTTTATAATAACTCCTGACTTATAAATATACCAAAAGTCATGTATCAAAATGCAAGGAGTTGTATATTTTTAAGCAGTGAGGAAATGGATGCAACTCTCATTTTGTTGCAAAGAAAGGATGCTACAGTTCAATTATCGGTGGAAAAACAAATTAAGTTAGGTGGCAAGTGAAACAACAGCAGCATCTTATGGATATAAATCATGTCCTAAGCACAGAACTTAAAGTTGATGGTTACCTGTCTCTATACGTTGGGAAAATGCCATATATTATCCTCAAGATTTCCAGATCATCGAAAGACACGCCCTACAAGTTCAAAAATGGAAGAAATTAGCAGTTGAATAGATCACTAAGGAGAAATAGCAAGTTTATACAACAAGATAGCAGTTACTGTCAAAATCCAAAGCACTGAACCTACACAGCTAATCCAAACAACAAAAGCAATAACATGAGTCCCTTGGTTGATATTTTTAACCGACATCAGATCTTTCAGGGGTTAATTTTCTTCTAAAGAAGATCGATTGCAAGGAATATCAACAAGCTAAATCTTCCAGAGTAAGGAAAAGAGAAAAGCAGAAGTATGCCAGACATAAGCCTCAAATAGCATACTCCAAGGGTTACCTGGTACTTTGGCATCAAATCCCAGTAATCTTCTAGTAACTCTTCCAGCTGTGGAGATCCGGGTTGAGGATCAACGTAAGTGAACATATAAGTGGTTCGGTCCATGGGACCCGAGCCGGCAGGAAATGCCTGAAGATCATGGGAACATTGTTATTTGCTAAGCACAAAAATTTTCCAAATTATCATGTGCAAGATATTTTAAAGCATCCTAGCGATTCACATTGCATGGTTTCCAAGTACTTTGAATCATTTTACCTCCCAGAAATATTGGACTACTGACTGGCTTGTTTCTTTAATGGAAGCACTGCTAAATATGACATCACTTGTACAGTTCTCCTTAAAACCACGGCAGCAAGTACCAACCACAAGGCACATACCATCTGGTTTCCTTCCACATCTAATCTAAAGCAATTTTCAATCATAAGAGCCAGTTCAAGACATTAGAAAATGAACTAACAAAAGAATCTAAAGGGGAAGTTAATGAGATATAGAAGACTTTTGTCAAAAGCGCCAGAATAAGGATTATGAGGTCCAAGTAATCCTTGAATGCGTGATATTTTTGGGAAATTAAGTTGGAATAATAGGAGAGCTGTCTTCATTTACCATCTTCCAATCCAAACATATCATTGGGATGCAACATAACCGGCCCTTAACTGTGACTTACCTCTCCAGGACCTTTCACGTGATACCAGAATCATTTCTTCACCGAAAGAAACATTTATAGTTGTATGCTTTAAGAAAAGGATTCTGCACCTGCTTTACAATAGGAGAAAAATTTCCCATTGCATCAATGATGAGACGCGAGAATAAAGTCTTTCCCTCCTTTAGTTCCAAGACCTGCAAGAAGAAAAGTAAGAACAATATCTGGATGAACTTTACTCATCTAGTATGAATTCAATAGTAGCAGAAAGATAACTGACAGCAGTTGAAAACATTATTTTGACATTAATTTGAAACCCTTTGACTGAAAGAAACCCAAATATCATACTATACCTCAGCTCATCTTCATAACTCTTTGTGACTTAAATACTACCTCCAAATTTTTCTCTCCAAAAGAATTCTAGAATCTTGTGTTTTTTATGTTTGAAAAATTATGTACTTGTGTCTAGGATTTTGGTCTTTTTATCTCAGCCTCTTCATTCTTGCAATTGGTAGGTTGGCCAAATCAAACACAAGTCATTTGAAGTTAAGCACAAATTTAATTAAGGCAAAACCCAATGCCCAAATTAAAAATCAAATAACAATATACATTGCTTTTTTTGCCTAACCTCGGATGCTACTAAGTAATAGTAAAGTGCACCCTTTAATAGCCACATCTATGAGTAAGTAAGCATACTGCGGAGTCCTCATACACGGATATGCTAGAGACACTGTAACCTTCAAATGTGACACCTCCAAGGGAATTGAAACGCTTTTTCATAATCTCCACAAGCTTTACTGGCCTACGAACAGATAAATATAAAAGAACATTATGATCTTGAGCTAGGTTTTTACAAAAGTTAAAGAAAGAAATTATAGGCGACTAAAAAATCATCTAAACTATAATAATAAAAACTTGTATGTTCAGATGCGGCATACGAAAAATAGAAGTATTTTACTTCATTGACAGTAAAGATAGCTGATTCCATCTTCCATAACATTGAGAGTATGAAAACAACAACAACAATAACTATTCCTCATTCCCAAGCTGTCGGTTATATAAATCCTCACTATCCATTTTGTTCCATTTGGATCCTATAATAGGAAGTGATGTGGGAACCCTAAACAAGCAGGACCTATTATGTTGTTAAAGTTGCTTATAGACTGCCTATATATCTTCAGAAAAGGCTATATCTGCAATTTTGCACCGTTTGAAGTTCAAAACATTATGCTAGTTAAACCTAGTTGGTTGCTTTCATCAGTATGATGCAATAAGATTCTTGTGTGTACGTCCTGCTCTTATGGCTTCCTAACTGGCAGTTTGTTCTGATCCTGCTTCTGTTCCAAGAAATTATACGGTTAATACATCTTTCAAGAAGATTGGATAGTTGGATATTGAAGGATGCGCCCGGGTAGGAGCAGTATAGCTGCATAACTCAATGTGTTTCCAAGAACTCTCTCAATATAACTATATCAGGATCTAGTCAAGAAGTTTTCAGAAAATCCTCCGTTTTGATTCTATCTGCAAAATGCATCTGTTTGTTTCAGGCTTTCGTTTTTGGCTTTATAATTTGGCAAATTTTACAAAACAATCAAGAAAGCTGATATGAAATTATCTCAGTTTCATATTAAAGCTTATGCGTGAGCATTTACATTTCACCCGATGCGTGAATTCTCATAGTGCTGAAGGATGAGTCTCGTGTATTAACTTAAACGCAAACAGAAAAAAGAACAGGGATTTGATGTTCTTATAGTAACAAAAACAATAAAACTTTACAGTTATAACTTTGGACGCATGCACATTCTGGAGAGGATAATGTATGCAAAACAGACTTACGAAACACCAAGATTGAGAATGTCCTGGACCCAAATATCTCCCTTCCCTTCAAATCCACATCTATTCTGCAAAGTGACACAGAAGCCAACAGAGAATAAGTAACAACGCCTAGAAAACAGTAGAGGACCCTTAGTAGGAAAAAATCCCAGAAGTCATTTCAAAATTATACACTTGACCAACAGTATAGTTAAGATGTTTAACTTTTCCCTCTTTTGCTCTATCTATCCTCACCCCAAAGTCCATTCGCCAAAGGAAAGAAAGATTTCGTTCTTTATAGGCCTTCCAAACAAAAATTACTAGGTGCACACTGGTCAAGGCAAAACCGTTATTAGCAGAATTAAGCTAATTTTATTCACAAATTGTTGAGGTTTTAAGCTAAATAGGCTTAAAAGAGGGTGAATGGGAAATGGAGGAAAAATGAAATTTTTAAGTGAAATTTTAAGTTTCCCCCTCGACAATGAGACATTGTCCCATATTGGAAGAGGAAAAGTTTTTTGATTGGTATATATACAATTGCTCTTCTTGTAGCTCTTAAAGAGTTAAGAAGAAGGCCAGCCTCGTGCCGTCGTCGTCGCTCGCTCGGATTTGGATTTGGTCAAACGATTGATTGATTAATTTTTTGGACCAAATTTATTTGTTGATAGCAAATATTAACAGAAATCCAACGGAATATTAATATTAAATCCAACGGAAATATTAAACGCTTTTTCCTTGTAACGAAAAATTAACCTCCCTCTTCAATTCCCGGTTTATTGTTGCGTAAATAGCCATTTATGTTATGGCCGTTTTACATAAACAGTCATTCTGAAGAGTTGCACCTCTTCAGTTTTGAACTCAACATTGGCTATAATACAAGTCCATTCTCTCAGATTTTCCATACAATTTTCTGAGTTTTCCTCCTTTCTTCTGCATTGTTTTAACATCAAAGAAATCAACAGTAAGTGTGATTTGCTACCGAACTTTGTGTTCGCTGAAATACTGAGATTTGAAGTGCCACTACACCAGTGTGTAATCCGTTCTATCCTGGGAGGAAATAATCCACAACCTTGGGTACTAGGAGGGGGTTAAATTCCTTAAGAAAACACTGTGAATTCAGTGGGCTCGGATTAACTTCTGTTTCGTTTATATTTCTGTTTATATATTATTTTATTTTCTCCAGAATTATTTTACAAATACAGTATACTAACACAAATATAACACTATGCTAGGGTAGAGAACATACAGGGTTGAAACTAGCAGCAGTAGCCTCTTCAATGTCATCTTCAGTTAAAATGCCAACTTCAACAAGTTCCAGTAGCTCTTTCCTAGATATGTTCCACTCTTGCTCCCTCTGTTCATAAAAATTCCAAAAAAGTCGAGCATTATTGGACTCCTAAGCAGATAACTAGTTCTAAATAGCATAACTGAATCCCACTAAGGCAATGAGTATAATGCAATACCCCTTTTAAAACATTCCTTTCCACAACTCCAACTTGAAGACCTTTGGAACTTAATGCTGTGGCAATGAAGATTCCCAAAGTACCTCCACAAACAATGACATCAAACATTTCCTCCAAATTTCCATTATGCTCAGAATCTTTGTATGATCCAGGGACAGAGGAAACCACCTTCTGGGGTTCTTCAACAACTACTACAAACAGGAAAATTAAGTACCACTATCCATTTCCTCCAATAGAATAAAGGTATGTTTTTTTGAAAGTACATTTATTTACCTGTTGAAGAAGAGCAAATTTTAGACCATAGCTGGTCCAATCTTTTTAATGCACTATATGAGTATGCACCACCAGCTCCACCAACTTCCCCACTTACTGCAATTCCCTCCATTATCCTCTGCAGCACCATTCAATCTTCATATTAATTCAGTATCATAAATGTACTATAAAACACATAATTGGCTGGGATTGACCAAAGAAAGTGTACCTGGGTTCTTGTAGGAGTGGCTTGTGCTTGAATAGAAACTTTTTTTCTATTCCCAAAAGGTCTAATTGCAGAAGGGTACTGAAAGACTCCATTTTTTATAGTTGGCTGAAGCTGCAGCTGAAGTGCCATTATGATTATTCAAGATTCAGAAAACAAAGAAAAGAATTGGTTTGTTTCCCTCAGGCCTCAGGTTATCATATTTGAGTAGTGAACCAACTCCAACTCCCCAAATAAGAGGGGAGTAATATGAGAACAAGCGTTAGACACGTTAGAATAGTAGTCCATGATTTTGTGAGTTGTAATTTTGACCATCCATTTCATGCTACCAGAAATCTCGTAGAATTTGTTCCTTAGTTGCACTTTTGGTCTTCTATTTTCAGTTATGTTTGGTTGGGTACCAAGAAAAAGGTCCTTCTTTTTTCTCTTCTTGCAAATTATTTTTTATTTGTTTACCTTTGTATTTACACATCCTTGGTTGTAGACTAATTGTTCTACCACTAATATAGATAGTCGAAAAGGCAAAAGCAGTCGGTATAAATAAAGATATCACCAAATATTAGAATCAGACGTGCAGATAATCTATTACGGCAATTTGAGATACAAATTTCTTATCGGTAGAAATACATGATTTAAATCATACGAAAGCATAGTGATGTTATTTGTTTTTATCTCTTCTTAAGGGTAACTAGTGGCGTTAGATTTAAATTAATTTTTTTATCTGTAATCTCTCCAATGGTGAGCCTCCTCCAATGAGCACTTTTCTACTTTGAAAAGAAATGGACAAAACAAATTGGGGTAGAGCATCTATAATTGTCGGATAAATCCAAAATGACATTTATATCATCCGAATGAAAACGTCGGGATTGAAATTGCAACTTATTAATTTTAAACTAACCGTACAATTTCTAATTATCAAGTTCGGCCGAAAATCCTTTTTATTCTTATACCTCTTCCCTACACCCCAATAAGGTTGGTAGAGGAACAAATGTAATTCCAACAAAGGAATTCAAATCAAACACCAAAAAGATTTTTGTATACGAATGCGTTAGAGAATGACCGAGTTGCAGCAAAACAGTTGTCAAAGGTGTTCTTCATCACAGGAAATGGAGCTTATATTTCACAACCTTGTGAAACACAGCAAAAAGAGAGAAAGGCATGCTAGACTATCTTGGCTAGAGTGTTTTTCATTTACCAACCATATCTCTAAACTTAACGATGCAAGTTAATGCACGCTCGAAATCACCATCTTCCAGGGCGATAGTGAAGCGACAGTAACCAGGAATTCCGGTCCACGAAGAGCTATTGATGCACAAACCAGTGGTCTTAAGCATGGCTTCTCTGATATTTGTGTCATCAAGTTTTCCTTCCCATGAAGATGAATCACTGCTGGTTTTAACCGTCTTCCCGAGATAGGTAGATGGCTTTGCCACCACTGAAATGCCAGAATGAGCCTCAAGCACGTCCCAGCCACAACTTTCAAGGGTCTGTTACACATAAACCGGGACATTTGTATGAGAGAACTATATTCAAGAATTACCAACTTGGAAGCCATTTGTAACAAATTCATATATGGAGGCTAAATACAATTTCAATTTTCTTCAAATGGTAAGAAAAAAGATATCATATAAATATTTGAAGTCAGTCACATGGTTTGGCCACAACAGCATATGAGCAATTTCTGAAACGCCTAATCCATAATGTAGAGAAAATGGTCTACACAGTGACTCCAATAAACTGCCTCTTAGTCAAGATGATTACTTAATGCAGCCATGAATGTAATCACAATGACAGATGACTAAAGTTCGAATGCTGGTGCAGAAATAACCAGAAGATGAAGTGATAATAAACATCTATAGATGTGAATTAACCTTTCGAGGAAAAAAATATACCTTTTTCAAGAGCTTATATCGACTAGCCAGAATATTTTCCTGCTGTGAGACTGCATTGGAAAGTTCTGCTGTTCGTTCTCTTTGATCCAACAGCTTCTTTACTTGGTATTTGATAGTGCTGTGAGGTTTGCTCAAACCTGGAAAACTGTGGAATGCATCAATTAAAGCTGGATGGTCTAGAAGCAGAAATCCAAAATTAATTCCAGCTGTAAGCATCTTCAGATACAATCCTCCAAGCAAAGTAACACAGAATGACTGGTTCTGAGATCTTAGTTTTGCTAGAGTGTCCTCCAAATTCCAGCCATCCCAGCCCTTGGAGTTGAACTCCACACCAGAAAATGAAGTATCAATTATGACCCTTGCCCCAAACTTTGCGCACACAGATAATATATTCTTTATCTCTTCGTTGAGGTAAAGCTGCCCAGTAGGGTTGACAGTTGGTCCAGAAATATAAATCCAAGGTTTGTTGACGGTCTTCAAAAAACTTTCAACTGTTTTCTGTGTCAATTTAAACCCTTCCTCTGGACTTGTAGGTATATATGCTATATTTGCTTTCACAAATTTAGCAGCAGACACATAACTACCATTTGAGCCAGCTGGGAAGCATAAAGTCCCACCTTCATGAATGCAACAAAGTACCAGTTTACTAAAAAGAGCTAGAGGGCAGTCAGCATATATAAATTCTGTCTTGCTGTTAGTTGGGAAACCATAACTACTCTCCATTAGCTGTCTAATGTTGCTTGTCACATCAATTTCTGACTCTGCAATGTTCTGCCTTACGAAACTCTCAAAAATGGCTGCCTTGACAGGAGTTGGTATAGGTAAAAAGCTTTGATCTACATCCATGTGAATCAGAGTATTGTCTGAATCAGTAACAGATAACTCTGCATGATTGAGTACTGAGGAGACAGAGCTAGGAAAGCCAATCATCTTGGATGCTTTCAACTTCTCGGCTTCCCTCTGGGAGAATGTATAGAAGGTAACTTTTAGTGCACGGTGCTCAAATTAAGCAGCTATTATAGGCAGAGTTAAAGAGACTTGTGCAACTAAAAAGTAGGAAAGTGCACACATCTCAAGATTTAGAATATCTTGTTGTTGGTACATTCCTTTTATTACTACTGATTATTCAATTATTAGCTTAATTAGTGTTAGGATTTGATGCCCCACCCAATAGATAGACCCAAGTCCTAGTAGCCCTGCCAATGGTGACTAAGCATAGATTCTACATCCTGAAACCATGTCAATTTTGGCGCTTGTTTTGATGGAATTTGGGGTTTTCAGTCATTATGAATGCAGTCCATTTGAAAAGCAAGAAATTTCCATATTCATAAGAATTTTCTCTCTAGAGAATTTAATATGGATAAAGACACGGAAAAAGAAAAGCCAAATTGCCAGCTTTATACGATCCAGAAAAATGAGTGTAATCTTGAGATACTCAAAGTTAAAAAGCAGGTCTTCTCTTCTTTTCTCTTTTCTTCACTTTCCTGATTTATTTACAGTTTCAGAAAATCCAGATTAGATCTTATACCAGTGATGAAAACCTTAAAGTGCTATAGTTACAACTAAACCTACATCCAATGGCGATAGCAGCATGAGGCAAAGGCTAATGAGCTTTTTCCATTAGGCAATCATAAAAGAGCCGAACTACTAACCTCAGCAGGTGGATGTCGATCAGCAAGCTGAAAAGCTAGGAGCTCGTGGAAAAGACAGCCATAATAATATTGGCTTATAAGAGCAGTATTTCCTTGTAGTAGTTCCATGGTTTTGGATAATGCTTTATAGATAGTTTTGTCTTCTGATATGACAAAAGCTACTTCCAGATCTGAATATACCTGAAAAAAGAAAGAGATTACGATTATGAAGCTAGCTAACTAAACCCGCCGAGTAACTTAGAAACCAATGATAAAACAGGACCTAAAAATCTTTTCGTAATGCTCTAGCAATAATTAATGGGAAATATAAACCTACCTGATTCTTCACTAAGCCACAAATAATTGCGGCATGTGAGGGAAGAGTAGTTCTAGCAAGGAATTTCAGGACCCCATTAGATTTGGGGAGGCTGGATAGCTCAAATTGGTCAGATATGTCTACAAACAGACGACATCCAATTTCCCTTGTGGTGTCAAGTAGGTACTCAAAAGAAGAACTAGTAACTGATTCAAATTGCGCCATCCCAGTAACCACGACTTGAGGCTTCAACTTCTTTATCAGTTCAACCATCGAATCAGATTGGCGTGGAGCTTCAATAACAGTGATGTTATCCTCTGAACTACTATCAGTTTGACTTTTCTGCATGAAAGCGAGATTTCAAAATTGTTAAAAATGATCAATAAACCTATAACAATGCTCATGAAAGATGAATCAACATATCCCTTCAAGTACTCACTGCGCGTACTATTAAAAGTTAAAACATTAGTAAACTTGGTATTCATAGAGAACTATGCATAAGTTCATCAGGCTAGTGAAATAACATGATCTTTTGGAAAAAATGGTAAGGATTATATTCAACGGAGATGGAGAGCAAGTACCTCAATCTTCAATGATGTCAGCCACTGCCTAGGCAGGTGTCGTGACAGTTGCTCATCAACAATTGCTAGATGTGGCAAGAATAACCGCAACAGATTCTCTATAGCCACAGCCCTTGAAGGAAAGACAACGACATTCTGGCATAAAATTGAGAAGCCCATGTTAGAACACATAATAAATGCAATTATACTTTTGCATAAACCAATCCTGAAAAGATGCTTCCACTTAAGCCCCCAGCCCAATTCTTAAAAACTGAAATCTTAAGATACTTTTTTAAAGATGTGTCTGTTGCATGACTTATCGGATAATCCTAGTTACATGGCTTGCAGCAACTAAGCAAATTATTAGTTGCATTACATTTTCCATAGACCTTACAGTTCCCCTTGATGCCTTTCCATGAAACTACAGCATTCAGTGCATAACTTGCATTTCACACCGAAACTTTGCACGGCTAACTCGTGTCGGTGAAAACATTGAGAAGGAAAACTCAAATAACTTGCTTTTCTAGATTACTTCAGAGAGAAATATGACAATTATCGACGTAGGTGATAAGCCTATGACTGTTTCAGTGGAAACTATATGCTAACATTCACACAACACACTCCATATCCACACATGGCGTTCTCTACAAGGCCATATCAGGCAGCAACCCTTCTTAAACTCCAATATTTTAGCAAAAGAATCTTGCATCAAGAAAAATAACAAAGTTAAACAATCTTACGTCGGCAGTAAGAGGAAAATGGTGGTATGTTTTCATAAAGCCAGCAATCAGATTGCGGAACCATCTACTTCCTGCTGGTGATTCATATGGGAAAACAGAGTTCTCCTTAAGCACGCTAGCAAGATAAGCTAGGAAAGGGAT